AAATAAAATAAAATAAAATAAAATAAAAAATAAAAAATGATTTCAGGACAGGGGCAAGGTAAACCCAGTTGCGGAAGTCATCCTCCAGTGTTGTTGGTCAGGGGCAACCCCACTCCGGAATTCCCCTCTCGACCCTGTCTAGAAGCAGGTTTTTCTGAGCAGGTCGGGCATTCACCAGTATAGGCCTCAGTGTCGATGTCGATCTTGTTGATAGTCTCACCATCGTCGTCTACGGCAAAGGTTAACTCCACTTCTTTGGCATTGTACGTCTGGGAGCTGTGGAGCCAGGGCCGGGCGCCCAACCCCACAAGCTCTGACCTGGGCCCTGGCCCCAGGCCCAACCTTGGAAGCTGGGATCTTACTGGGCCGTGAGGCTCCACCCCTTCACTCAGGCCCAGCCCGCTTACCCCTGTTCCCACCTGGACCTCTGGCCTCGCTGGAGCGTCCCTCCCGCTGCTGATGCCTGGCTCCACCTCCAGCGTGAGGCCCCCCCCGAGGGCGGTGCTTCCCGGCTGGCCCCACCCCCACAGGTCCCTCCCATAATCGTCCGAGCCTCCGAGTAACTCTTCCCACCGGAAAATGAGCGAGCAGTTCTGCCAGTCGAAGGGGAAGTAGGTGACCTCCACGGCGCAGACGCTGCGGTAGATGGCCGGAGGCAACCACGTTACGGAGCCGCCCTCGTAGATCAACACATTGGCATCGTAGGCCACGCCGAACTGGCCGTCAATACTGTGGGCTCGGCGAAACCGAGCTTTTTGCACAGATCCACATCCCCTCAGAGTATCCCCTTCCCCAGCCAAGTCCAGCCCGCACCCCAGGCCAGCTTCCCTCCAGCCTGGCGTCCAGCCCACTCCTCACTTGTTCTCCAGCACAATCTCTGGCAGCCATACGAGTTCTGAAGGGACTCTCAGGGTTTCTATGCCCCCAAAGTCATCCTTGCTGTAGTTAAGTCGGTAATCCTGCCAATCCTAAGGAGTGGGGGATGGAAGGACATGTGCCCTGCATCTCCCAGCTGGCGCTGCCTGGAAGGGATCTGAATTAAAGGGGTCCCCTGCACAAGACCTCACACTTCCCCCCAGATTTGACTCACGATTCCAATCCAGACGCTGGTGGTGAGAGTCTCCTCTTTTTCATTCTGCAGATGAGAGATGGGGATGGATTGAAGTGAGATTTCAGGGCCAGATGTGAGCTTTAGGACAGCTCAGCGGCTGGGGCCAGAAGTGGAATTTTAGGCTTGAAGTGAGGGTGGGGATATCTTACCAGTGAGATGAGATTCGTCAGGGTGACCTTTAGGCTGATGGTGACAGTATCCTCAGGCCCCCGTGCTGGCCGGCTTCCTGGGTCATAGTTGTCGAAGAGATGGTGATAAAGACGCAGCTCCTCGTTCTTCCCCACACCCCTGCCTGTGATGGGGTCAAGAAGAAAAGGTCATTGGCAGTGAAGAGGCTGGAGCAGCTCTCCTCTCTGCCTCCTCTGGGTCCTCACAGGCCTCTGCGGCTGTGTATTATTGGTATCTGTCTCCTAAACCAATTATACTGTGCCTGGGGACCAAATACTGTCTCAGTCTCCATCTTGGTCTCTGTCTTTGCCTTCCCAGTCCTTTTATGACAGTATCTGTATGTGTCCAGTTGCCTCCCCCAGCCACAGTCCATACCGAGGAGCCCCAAGAGGAGCAGGACCCCAAGCAGAGGCCCTGCCATCCTGCTGCCTGGTTCTCAGGGTTATTCTGAGCTCTGGCAGGCTTGGAGGAGGCAGGCCAGGGTGCCTGTGTGAGGGGGAGGAGGGTGTTAGTTCCGGGCTGTATTAGGGGACTGTTACCTAATCCTCTACTCACCCCTGCTACAGCTGGGGACATTTTGGCTGCTTCCAGAGGCAGCTGCCCCATCCTGTATTTCCTGCTCCTGCCCCCCCACCACCAACAGCCAGGCTAGGCCCAGCCCAGCATCCTTTGCCTGGTCTTTGGCCAGCTCCCCAGCTGCAGAAGTGAGCCTCTCCTGAGAGGTACCTACAACCACAAACCTAGTAGCAAGGGGTGAAGGACACTGCTTTCAACAGGCACTGGTGTTCTTTGAGTAAGCTGCCCTGTGTAGGTGACCCTGCCCAATGAACACATCTGGGGATGTGACACACCCCTTGCCTCCCATTCTCACCCCCGTGGAACACACACTATCACCACCCACAGCCAGGCCAAGCTCACACTAATGCCTTTCCTGCCGACAGAGTGGCAAAAACCAGTCTCCATAAAAACCTGACAGACAAGTAGTCACAGGGGATTAGCCCTGCGGTAACAGAGATTCCACCTGGCAAAGGAGATCATGTGGTAATACAGGGCCCACCTCCTTCCACAACCTGATCGCCAGGTTTGCCCATCCCAGTCCCCTGGACGTGAGCACCAGCCAGACTTCTGTTTCTCCTTGTCTCTCCCTGCTGCCACCTTGTGGTCAGAGATGATAGTACAGTCTTCCCCATCCTACTCCCCTAAACACACACACATACCTGATGACACCTTAACTGATCCTTTCGATGTTCCTTTTAAGGGGGTGGGGGGGGAGAACAGGATCTCCCTCTATCACCCAGACTGGAGTGCAGTGGCACCATCATAGCTCACTGCAGGCTTTCGAACTCCTGGACTAGAGTGATCCTCCTGTCTCAGCTTCCCAAATGGTTAGGATTACAGGCATGAGCCACTGCACCTGGCCTCAGTGTTTTTTTGTTTTTGAGAGGGAGTCTCGCACTGTTGCCTGGGCTGGAATGCAATGGCACAATCTCGGCTCACTGCAACCTCTGCCTCCTAGGTTCAAGCGATTCTTCTGCCTTAGCCTCCCAAGTAGCTGGAATTACAGGTGCCTGCCACCACGCCCAGCCAGTTTTTTGTATTATTTAGTAAAGGCGGGTTTCACTATGTTGGTCAGGCTGGTCTCCAACTCCCGACCAAATGATCGGCTCGCCTCGGCATCCCAAAGTGCTGCGATTACAAGCATAAGCCACCTCGCCTGGCCTCAGTTTCTTAAAGTCACCTTCTTGAGCCATTCTAATCACCTGGAGGAGTGCTTGTTTTAAATGCAGATTCCTAGGCTGGCTCCATTCCCAGAGAATTCTGATTTTGGGAATAGGGTGCTAGGAATCTGTATTTTTAGAAAACTATACAGGTGTTCCTCATGAGATAGGAGGGGCTGGCCTAAGTGTCTGCCGTACACCTCACCTCCTCACAGCAGTCCAGCAAAGCAGTGATCACTGTCCTGAATACATGAAAGAGGACTCTGAGGTCAAGGTCCAGGGTCACACAAGGAGACTGGCAATACCGCATGAGATGTATCAATCAACTCTACTGACCATGTACACTGGTGTTTATTTTACACTTCACAAAACACTTTCACGTCATCACTTTTGGGTCTCCTTTCCCCACCTAGGAGGTATGTCATAATCACCTCCATGTTACCAGCAAGGACACAACAAAGACCAGAGTGTCCATGGGGCTCCTTGTCCATTTCCCACACATGCGTGAAGCCTGTTTCCACTGCTGCCTTATCACCCCAGATTCTCCTTCCAGGCTCCCTTTCTGGGTTTCTTTGACCCAGCTCACCTCTTTGTATGTGGCTGGTACATGGACTAGCTTTTTTTTTTTTCTTCCCTGAGAATGAGTCTCATTCTGTTGCCCAGGCTAGAGTGCAGTGTCACAATCCCAGCTCACTGCAACCTCTACCTCCCAGGTTCAAGTGATTCTCCTGCCTCAGCCTCTCAAGTAGCTAGGACTACAGGTGCCTGCCACCATGCCCACCTAATTTTTTTATTTTTAGTACAGGCAGGATTTCGCCATGTTAACCAGGATGGTCTCAATGTCCTGACCTCGTGATCCGCCCACCTTGGCCTCCCAAAGTGCTGGGATTACAGGCGTGAGCCACCATGCCCGGCCACATGGACCAACTCTCAAATCTGTGCTGCTGCTTATTCCAGAGCCGCTGGGTCAGGGCTTAGGACAAGAGTTGTGATAAATGCAAATATTCAAACATTAATGGACACTTACAAAGTTTCCCTTTACAGGGCCAGGTGCTATGGTTATTGAGATGAATAAAACAAGCTTCAAGGAGTTACCATCTAATGACAGAGACCTATCAACAGCCAGTGGCACTAGACTGTGAAAAGCATTAAAAAAAAAAAAAAAAGTGCAATGGAAGCTATAGGTAGGGTGAATCAGATCTGTCAGAAACGCAAGGTTTCGGGTCAGGCGCGGTGTCTCATGCCTGTAATCCCAGCACTTTGGGAGGCCAAGGTGGGTGGATCACCTGAGGTCAAGAGTTTGAGACCAGCCTGACCAACACGGTAAAACCCCGTCTCTACTAAAAATACAAAAATTAGCTGGGTGTGGTGGCAGATGCCTGTAATCCCAGCTGCTCGGGAGGCTGAGGCAGCAGAACCCCTTGAACCCAGGAGGTGGAGGTTGCAGCAAGCTGAGATCATGCCATTACACTTCAGCCTGAGTGACAGAGCTAGACTCCGTCTCAAAAAAAAAAAAAAGGAAAGAAAAGAAAAAGAAAGAAAGAAAGAAAAAGCAAGGTTTCAGCCAGGCACAGTGGCTCATTCCTGTAATCCTAACTCTTTGGAGGCCAAGGCTGGAGGATCACTTGAGCCCAGGAGTTCAAGACCAGCCTGGGCAACACAGTGAGATCCCCATCTCTACAAAAATAAAGAACAAAAAAAAGTTATCTGGGTGTGGTGGTGCATGCCTGTAGCCTCAGCTACTTGGGAGGCTCAGGTGGGAGGATTGCTTGAGCCTAAGAGATCAAGCGTACAGTGAGCTATGATCAAACCACTACACTCCAGCCTGGGTAACAAATGAGACCCTATCTCAAAAAAATGAACTTTCCGGCCAGGTGTGATGGCTCATGCCTGTAACCCCAGCACTCTGGGAGGCCAAGGCAGGTGGATCACCTGAGGTCAGGAGTTTGAGGCCAGCCTGGCCAACATGGTGAAACACCATCTCTACTAAAAACACAAAATTAGCTGGGTGTGGTGGCGGGTGCCTGTAATCCCAGCTACTCCGGTGGCTGAAGCAGGAGAATCACTGGAACCCAAGAGATGGAGGTTGCAGTGAGCAGAGATCACGCCACCGTATGTGGGGCTGTGAGGGGGAAGCGCATGGCAAAATATTCGAGCTTATGTACATGACATTTGAGGTCAGGGTATGGAAAAATACTGACGCAGTGGTATGTTATTTGTATGTACATGGGAATGAAGCTCCTTGACCCTGAAAACAGGACAAGAAGTAGTGTGTGTGGTGTAATAAGAAACACTGAAAACAGCCTCCCGAGAATGCAGTTTGAGTGTGTACAAGGTCACAGGTGCCTCAGTAACCCACCTCAAATGACCATCTAGTGGATGTTTGTAGTTCATACAAGCCCTTTCAATAAATACTTGGCGGACGGACGCTCAGAAGAGCTACCCTCTAGCCCTGCTCAGCTGGAACTGTCCCAGTACTTCATTCTCAGCATTCACTGCAAGCTATAAGCTCTGCAACTGGTGTCCCCAACGTGATCGCCTAGAATTTATGCATGAAGGTAAAAAGCTCAAAAACTTTGGGGGAATCCTGGTAAGGGATTCCTCCCATCAGGAGGATGGGACACACACATGAGATATCAGGGGCTAGGTTATCATGGGTCAAGAAATGACCAAAGAGCAGAAAGTACTTTTTAAAACAGTGCAACAGCTACTTAAGGCCATCCAGTGCATTGTAGAGCCTGGAGCTCTACACAAGCTTATGCCTTTTTTTTTTTTTTTTGAGACGGAGTTTCGCTCTTGTTACCCAGGCTGGAGTGCAATGGCACAATCTCGGCTCACCGCAACCTCCGCCTCCTGGGTTCAGGCAATTCTCCTGCCTCAGCCTCCTGAGTAGCTGGGATTACAGGCATGCGCCACCATGCCCAGCTAATTTTTTGTCGTTTTAGTAGAGACGGTGTTTCACCGTGTTGACCAGGATGGTCTCGATCTCTTGACCTCATGATCCACCCGCCTTGGCCTCCCAAAGTGCTGGGATTACAGGCTTGAGCCACCGCGCCCAGCCAAGCTTATGCTCTTAATTCAGCAGGATGCCCTTGGTTTCCTCATCAAGAAACCTTAGATTTAGAGTTATGGGAGCAGGTAGGTCCCTGCCTGAAAAGAGAATATGAGCAAGGTCATTTTACTAATGTTACCATTTTGACCACCTGGGCGCTGGGACGCTCTGCGTTGTATCCTCTTTATCCGCCACGTTGCAGTGAATCAGACCACCCATCTTCTCCACCTGGAGGGAATTCAGGAGATTTAAAGGAGAAGGAAAAGCAGGAACCAGAATAACAAGGAGACCCCTCTCCCTTCTTCATTCCCTTCTATGGGTAATCAGGAAGAGATTTTTTTCTAGTGAGGAAGAGGACGGACTGGACCCTTTTATTCCCACTATAGAAGAGCTATTGCCAGGCCGGGCGTGGTGGCTCAAGCCTGTAATCCCAGCACTTTGGGAGGCCGAGGCGGGTGGATCACGAGGCCAAGAGATCGAGACCATCCTGGTCAATATGGTGAAACCCCGTCTCTACTAAAACTACAAAAAATTAGCTGGGCATGGTGGTGTGTGCCTGTAATCCCAGCTACTCAGGAGGCTGAGGCAGGAGAATTGCCTGAACCCAGGAGGCGGAGGTTGCGGTGAGCCGAGATCGCGCCATTGCACTCCAGCCTGGGTAACATGAGTGAAACTCCGTCTCAAAAAAAAAAAAAAAAAAAAAAAAAAAAAAAAAAAAA